GATCTTAATCTTAATCTTAATCTTAATAATAATAACAAAATATGCAATTTCTATTTTAATATTGATAATAAATAATTCTCAAATAATAATAATTAATATTAAGATTATTATTGCTGACAATATGCAACAAAGATCTGGCATTTAATAATTCTTAAGCTTTTTCCTTTAGCTTTAATGTAGTTTTTAGTTAAAAAAATTATATATATATATTATTATATTATTATTATATTATATATTATTATATAATTATATATATTTTTTGTTAATTTAATTGTTTAAAGTATGAATAAAGCAAACTATTAAATACAGAGACTAATATTACTAATCATATTAATAATAACAATTAATATGCAATTTTTATTTTATTATTGATTATAATAATTTATAAATTATGATGATATTAATAATAATAATAGCCTAATAATAATAATAATAGCCTAATAATAATAATAATAATAACAATATTGCTGTTAATATGCGACAGAAAAACTTTTGCCATTGAATAGTTCCCTTCCCTCTTCCTTTATGTCCATGAAAGTGCCTGTTTAATCAGGTGCATCCTGACTTTCCCCTGCAGTTTCTTCGTGATTCTTCATCTCGGAGCCAATCAGCTGTCGCGTACCTGCAGGAAGTTTGACCCGTTATTCTCCTCCCTCAGAGTGACCTCCAGCCGCTCTCCGCACACACGCACAGACTGCATGGAAGTCGGAGCAGAAGCCGCACGAGTTTATCCAGGAGCAGCAGCTGTTCATCCATCATGCAATTCCAGCACCCGCACGCGCCTCTGTACGCACCGACGCCCGCGCCGCCCGCGCACCCGACGCCCTTCTATATAGAAGACATCTTGGGAAGAACCGGGAGCTCCTCCGGTCCGGTGGTGCCCACCCCGACCCTGCCGTCCCCGAACTCCTCTTTCACCAGCCTGATCCCGTCTTATCGGACACCGATCTACGAGCCCACGCCGATACACCCGGTTCTGTCCCAGTACGTGTCCATGTACCCGTTCCAGCGCTCCGTGGGAGACTTTGCGCATGCGCTGATCCGCCACGACCCGCTGGGTGAGCCTCACAGCACATCGCAATCTGTTTCTTTTGCTCAAATGTAAATTAGCAGTGTGATTTTTTATTTATTTATGCATTTGAGTTGCATTATGGGAGCTTGATCTTTCTTACAACAATTTTTAACATTGAAAACTTGAAAAAGTGACTTATTTATACTTTCAATAGTTTAAAGTAATAAATTGTCAGGGTTGGTTATGCTACAGAAACCTTGTACTTCTAGTACATTTTCTGTCATTTACAGACTTATTTTCTATATAATAATCACATTATATTATAATTACATTATTCAAACTACTGAAATGTCAATAAAAGTCACCTTGTTTAAATATATTGCTATTAAATGCTTACAATTGTCAATTATCGCGGTATTATCACGGTATCGCGCTAATCAGGTAGCCTAATTGTGTGTCTATTTTCGTTTTCTGTTAACCTGAGCCTTACATCACATCTTAATCTGAGCTTCTTTAACGTTTTTTTTTTCTCTAAATATAAATGAGCAGTTTTCAGTATTTTTTGATTCATGTTTTTATTATTTATTTATGCTTTTGAATTGCATTATGGGACCTTAATCTTTCTTTACAAAAACTTTTAACCTTGAAACGTTCGAAAAGGGGACTTTTATGGACCCTTTTAATAGTTTACAGTGATATATTGTCATAAAAAATTGTAATAATCTTGCAGTACAGTTTTTGTTATTTTACAGATTAAATTCTCTATAGTATTTCAAACTACTAAAACGTCAATAAAAGTCACTTTGTTAAAATGTAAAGTTGAATTTTTTAACATCAAAAGTGGACAGAGCAAAGATCAACATCCCATAATAAACATAAAATATTTGTGAATCACAAAATACGGAAAATATTCATTAACAGATATTATTAGATTTTCTTGTTGCACGATTACAAGCTCAGGAATGATTAGGCCTACAAGTTTTGCTATTATTATCATGATGTCGACCTAATCTAAAATCCAATGTTTTACCATAGCCTAAAGTGTGCTTGTCTGTGTGTGTGTGTGTGTGTGTGTGTGTGTGTGTGTGTGTGTGTGTGTGTGTGTGTGTGTGTGTGTCATTGATGTGTCTCTCTAAAGGCATTAAGTCGCAGAATTTTCATTTTTATGTCATATTAACGAAACGAAAGGTTCATGTTGGCAAATAAATCGCCTTTTAGATCTTTACGCATTTGCTGCTGTGATGAATAACACCAAATACAACACTATCAATATTTATAAAGACAATCTAAAAAAAATTTGAAGTGCCCATGACATTAATATTGAGTATTTTTATTATATTCTGAATTACTTTCTAGTAAGACTGCACTGTTTTTATTGTTATTTTGAAGTGCCCAATGTTGAGCCTTCTCATTATATTCTGAATTACTGTCAAATAAGATTAGTCTTTTTATCATTTTAACGTGCCTTTTATATCAATATTGAGCATGTTTATTCTCAGGATATTGACTGACTTAATGCGGTTGCAGTGTTTTGTTATTGTGGTAAACAGAACTTGATTTGGGTCGAATCAGTGAGAGAGCGAGTGTCATTTGGCAGAGACAGCACAGTGACATGAGGTCTGTTTACCAACAGCTCATGTGGTTAATAATATCAACCAGACTGACCCGAAGAGGAAGTTTTTGTAGATTTCGAAACTTCTCTCTGCCGTGACCCGGCGCGCAGTGCGTCCGAACCGGCCCCGAGCGCGTCGAATCTCCGCTGCTGCTGCCGGGGCTCATGATTCAACCCCGCCTGTGCTCAGCAAGCCCTGACCCTTTCCGTTCATGCCGGAAATCTTGAGCTCTCGATAGGAGTAAATGTGCTTTCAGAAGCTGTGAGGTGTTTTCCTGGAGCAGGACTCGTGCGCGCTGCTGATTATTTTATCCACATCCTCAATACACACATATTCAGGAAACACTCGACTTCTGATAGCCGGGATCCGTTTTTTTACAGATTGTTCGTTTCCTTTCAATGGGCTGAACCTTTTTAACTGCTAAAACAACTGAAAACCACTTTACACAGGGTTCGGCAAAATCTGAGATCAGTTTGTTGACCTTTTACTACACTGATAAACAGTTATTAATGCCTTAAACGAATCAGATTAACTTAGTCATCTCAACTGACTTAAAACATTAAGTTAAACTTTGCATAACTTAAATAAAATTGATTAAAAATAAGTTAAAACAATCATTCGTTCATTTCCTTAGCCACAACGGAACGAACCGCCAACTTTTTCAGCATATGTTTTACGCAGCGGATGCCCTTCCAGCCGCAACCCAGTACTGAGTTAAAACAACAAAAAGATATTTAGGCAACTTTGGTCATTCGTTTTTTATAGTTATTATAGATAAAACATCTACAGTCGTAAATAATAAACACATCAATCTATTTTAACAACAAGCCAATATATGCGTTATTTATATTTAATAGACTAAAAA